CAAAAATAACAAAGATTGTGAATTGCTCTAACACTCAAAATAACATCAAATATCAATAGTTAGAATATATCTCATTCAAATCCTGAAAAAGATAAAAATTCATGGAATAATCACGTAATTGCAAGAGAATTATGCATAAGTAAGATATCAAATTACCAATTATAAGCGTAAAAATAACTCTCCACATGAGAGTTATCAGTAATCGATTACCTAGTGTGGTAATCAATTACCACATGTTAAGTAATCGATTACCTAGTGTAAATGTGAAACCAGTGACCTAATTTAGTAAAATCGTGATATCTAGTGCTATCAAGCTCCAAATTAAGTGATGTTTAAACCTAGGTGAAGCTAACACATAGGGATACAATTCTGTAAATTTTTATAGCCATTGGATAAGTGGATTAATCACAATTTAAGTTTGAAGTCACATATTGGTTGCTGAAAATTCAATTTGCAACAGTCACTTTTGAGTCATTTATGATGATAATTCAATCTATGATAAAACTGATAGAGGATTTGATGATGAAGATATAAAAGTGAAAGAATTATCAATTAAGTTTTTACCTAAAGAGAATGATATTAGTGAAGATGAATAAGATTCGAGGATGAATCTTTTTCTAGCAGGGGAGAATAATGCACTTAGGTTTGGCCCATTACACATGGTCCAACCATTGATTCAGGAAGCACATAGTCAACAAGAATTGTGGCCCAATAAGTATGTCATATATATATATAGGGAAAAATATTTCTCAAGCAGCTTGAGATAAGTTTATATCCAGTTAGCTCAAAACTACGTCGTTTTATTTATTTATTTCCTTATATCAATTGATTCACCTTTGAATGGTTATGATTCCCTTTTTCTCTCTCTTCCTTTATTACCATTGATCCATCTTTGTACGGTAATAATTTAGTAGCCAGAGATAAGATTATCTCAAGCAGCTTGAGAAACGATAAGCCCATATATATATATATATATATATATATATATATATATATATATGTATGTATATAGGACATATATATAAATATGTATGTATATGTGTATGTATATGTCAACATACACATATACATACATATCTATATTTATGTCCCATACATATACATACATATATATATATATGTATGTATATTGATCCTCTACAACGCCTGGTGGATAAAATATTTTTAAGAACAAACAAATCATACAGATTCTTTTCTTTATTTTCGGTTATCTTTTGATCTTTTGTTCTTCGAATGTATTTCTCACAATTCTTCCCAACATGACCTTTTTATGAATATCTTTGATGAATTTGGTCTTTACTCTTATTAATTAAGGAAAAGCCTGTGGTTTGATACATAAAAAATTGTTCGTTGTTTTTTCTAGACAGACACACTGGTTCGACAATGAATATTCTCTTTTTCATCAAGTCTTTAGTTTTCTTCAACCCTTTCAGAGTGAAATCTTTATGACTCTGAATCACCATAATATCAGGTAGGCTAGGGAGAGCGCATGGTGAGGAATACCACCAATGGGTTGAGCTAGCCCAACAATATCAAATGGATCCGACATCATATCTCAACCTAAAACCTTAAGACTGTGATACCACCCATTTAGAATTAATCCATAAACTATATGAAATTAAGAATACCAATAATCAAATGTACGTATTTATATTTTCCATGATTGATGAATAAGGAAACACCAAAGGAACTGGACACTGGAGATCGCGTTAAGGAAGGTTTTCCCCCACTACTTCTCAGATTCAGATGGACAACTATCAATGGAGCAAGCTTAAGATGAGAAAGTCTAAAAAAGGTTTGTTCAACCTAACAGGGCATCCTTATATATTTACATTGAAGTAGTGGTAGGGAACCTAGCCGCAAATATAATTATTTGCATAATAACCCTCCCATTTTAAGTAATGGCCTACACTCTGCCTATAGCCATACTTTATAGAAAAAATTGATGTGCACTGTAAAGAACCAATTCAACCCAAAAATTTAAGTTATTGGGTGAGGCTACATTAATGATTTTATATTTATCTAACACGCTCCCTCACACGAGAGCCCACTAGGCTTGAAGGGTGGATAATGCACAGCCCCTTCTAGCTGTGCTAAGAAATTCCACAAGACTTAATTAATTATTAATTAAATGAGGGGCAGTGAGGATCGAACCTGTGACACTGAGGCTCTGATACAATATAAAGAACCAGTTCAACCCAAAAGCTTAAGTTGTTAATTGAAAGCCCATCAATGGTTTCTATACTTCTTTAACACGCCCCTCACATGAGAGCCCATTGGGCTTGAAGGGTGCTCAATGCACAGGCCTACCCATTTATGGGCCTTCACTTAACAACTTAAGCTTTTAGGTTGAATTGGTTCTTTATATGGTGTCAGAGCCTCGGTGTTATAGGTTCGATCCTCACTGCCCCCATTTAATTAATAATTAATTAAGTCTTGTGTAGTTTCTTAGAACAGGTAGCTGGGCATGTGCATTGTCTAATTCAACCCAAAAGCTTAATTGTTGGAAGAGGCTACACTAATGGTTTTATATTTCTCTAACACGCCCCCTCATGGCTTGAAGGGTGGGCTTGTGCATTGCCCAATTCAACCTAAAAGCTTAAGCTGTTGGGTGATGTTACATTAATGATTTTATATTTTTCTAACATGCCCCAATTTAATTAATAATTAATTAAGTCTTTTGGAGTTAATTTCTTAGCACAAGTAGGTGTTATGTGTAAAGAACCAATTCAACTCAAAAACCTTAAGCTGTTGGGTTAGGCTACATTAATAGTTTTATATTTCTCTAACACACCCCCTCACACGAGAGCCCACTTGGCTTGAAGGATGGACAATGCACAGGCCTACCTACATGTGCTAAGAAAGTTTTATATATCTCTAACATGCCCTTTTACACGAGAGCCCACTGGGCTTGAAGAGTAGATAATGCACATGCTCACCTATCTATTCTAAGTAATTCCACAAGAGAAAGTTGGGAGGCGGTGATGATAGAACCCATAACAAAACCAAGGTCCTGATACCGTGTAAAGAACTAATTCAACCCAAAAGCTTAAGCTGTTGGGTGAGGCTACATTAATGATTTTATATTTCTCCCCTTACTTGAGAGCCCACTAGACTTGAAGGGTGGACAATGCATAGGCCCACTTACCTATGCTAAGAAAGTTTTATATATCTCTAACATGAACATCCCAAGTAAATAATTTGATCACATCCAATAATGGGATAAATTGTTCTTGTCTGTTAGAAATTAAACGATTATTTTATCATCTTTTTTTATAAAAACAAAATTAACAATTAGTGGTAGCCCACAAAAGAATATTTTTAATATTCTCTCACTTGGGCAACGTTAATTGTAATAGTATAATTTTGAAAAATAATTATAGGAAAAAGTTCACCAATGCCCCTGTGGTTTACTTCAGAATCACTTATGCCCCTGTGGTTTTTTTCTTATCACATATACCCCTGTGGTTTGTAAAAGGCTATGTTTTTTATCACATATACCCCTGTGGTTTCTTATTTTTTACAAAGCTTAGGGGCATATGTGATAGAAAAAAAACCACAGGGGCATCAATGATTCTGAAGCAAACCACAGGGGCATTGGTGAACTTTTCCCATAATTATATTACCTGTCCCTGAACACACACAAGAGAGAGAGAGTTACATGAACCCATAAATACAAATAAAATTAACATGTTAAGATTGTGAGTTAAATTTTTTGTTTTTATTTTTCTTATTTTTGAATCGTTCAATTGATTACACGATTAAGATGGAATAATTCCTACTAGTTAATCCAATTTCTCAAGGCATGTTTGGTACATAGTATAAGATAAGGCATGATAGTATAAGACCTGATAGTATAAGGCCTAATTGAATTTTAATACTATCCAGCGTTTGCCACTGTATTGTATAAAATAATATATTGTATAAGATAATATCAGCTAGTATTTGGTAATGCACTGTATAATACTATATATGATAAAAATAATTTTTTTTAATAAAAATATCCTCTAATAAAGAATTTATATAATTCTTCAAAAAATGTCATATGATATTAAATTTTATAAAAATTTATTGATCAGTATGTCCAAAATATAAATTTTTATAAAAATAAAAAAGATTCAATTTTTAAAAATTAATATATTGAAAAATTAAATTTTATTTTAATAGATTAATATTAAAATAATATATTAATTTTCGAGAATTACATTGGTCAACGGTGTTAATACACCAATCTCTTATCAGGTCTTATCCCTCACCCTTAGGCCGGATTAAGTTATACATCGTTTTGATGTATTAAGAGATTATGCTGTATAAGCTTATACTATACGATAGTCACACCAAACAACTGAAAATGTCACAATATATAGTACAAGGCACGTTATGGAAAAGTACATATTGAACCGACATCTACACGTAACCACACGAAAGTAGCGCCGTGCCACCTCCCAACCATATATAACGCATTTACTAAGGGAAAACATTAGGATTTAGGTGCATGGCTCCAGCTCTGCCAAGTGGGAGAACTGGAACGCGCATTGCCCTACAATAAAATTCAGTTTCACAATTGGTTTTCCGTTGTCACAAGGCCGGTGGTCCATCCTATGCCAACTACCTTATAATACATGAACCATCTCATTCACTCATTGTATTTTTCTTTATATTAAGAGTTTGTTAGTTTGTGTTTTTTTCAAAAGTATTTTTTAGTTGAAAAATATGGTTGAATTTTTTTATGATACTAAAAATTATAAAAAAACAAAACAAAATCATACCTAATTGGCTAATTTCATGTCCCATGCCAAGTAGTTTATTTGTTCTTTTTTAAAAAAAAAACAAAAAAGTTTTAAAGAAATAATACCTAATTTTATTTCCCAGCCAAAGAGAGTCTATGGAAGTGGGGGACCAACAGAGAAAACTAACTGCATTGGCTTCAATGCTTGATTCATTGAGCCTATATATAGGTGATGGGGTTAATGGTAGCAGAATAAAAGCTGGTAGTTGTGTTTCATACACAGACAAAGCTTCCATTTGAGAAAGGATAAAGAGACACTTTTACTCTGGGATATTCATTCCCTCTCTCTGTATTCTTTTTGGGTATTAGCATCCTTTCAAGTTCCTATTTTGAGCTGCTATAAGTTTTTAGGACTCTATAGGGTCTTGAATTTTAGCTGATACAGAAAAGGTACAAGAGGCTCTATAGGATATATACTCAACGACAGAACAAGATTATCTTTACTATCTAGTCCAGGAAAATGGGAGCTCCATTATCAGCTTGGCCATGGGAGAACTTGGGGATATTCAAGGTATAGTTTGTGTTGCATATATCTTCTTGCTCCTAGTTTCTTTATTAATTATTATAACAATTTTGATGGTACTGACATGGGATTTGTATGATCTCAAATTGTTTATCAATGGATAGTATTTGTTATACGGGCCATTTGTGGCCAAAGTACTGTATGAAAGGTTTTATGAGGAAGAAGACTCCAACAACAACTTCAGCTGGTGCTTTCATTTGCTCGTATTGTGTGGTCTCAGAGGTTTTCTTCATGTGCTATGGAATTCTTATAGTAATATGCTTTTCCTTACACGAAACCGACGGATTCTTCAGCAGGGGGTTGATTTCAAGCAGATTGACAAAGAATGGGACTGGTAAAGAAATGGAAATTTTATATATATTTTTTATAAATAATTATCTTAATCTAAATGGGTTCTTTATGTATATATGAGTTGATTTTATTTTTTATTTTTCTTCTTATTTCTAACAGGGATAACTTCTTAATTCTTCAAACAATGATTGCCTCTGTGGCCTATTATATGTTTCCCTTCATTCAAAATCTTCCTGCATGGAACCTTAAAGGTGTTATTGCAGCTTTGATTCTTCATGTGGGAATCTCAGAACCACTTTATTATTGGGTGCATAAAAAGTTTCATGGAGACTATTTTTTCACCCACTATCATTCTCTTCACCATTCATCTCCAGTACCAGAGTCACTGACAGGTGAGAACAACAATAACTCTCATGTTAGTTATAAGCCTCCCCATAGCTTCTGTTCTGATTTTTTCAGTGATTATTCAAAGGGAAGGCTTATTATTATAGAGATGTTCGCTACTCTCCTGAAGTTTCAGTTAGACACAGTTGAAATTACTTTTATATTTTGTCATGCTGCAGCTGGAAATGCAACAGTTTTGGAGCATCTTTTCTTGACGTTAGTAATTGGAATCCCAATCCTTGGGGCTTCTGTGATGGGATATGGATCAGCAAGTTTGATATATGGTTACGTTTTGATTTTTGACTTTCTGAGATGTATGGGCCATTGCAATGTTGAGATTGTTCCACATCAGCTGTTCGAGAGATTCCCATTTGTGAGATATCTGCTATATACCCCAACGTAAGTTAATTCTTATGCTGCCACTAGTCCCAAGTAGAAACCTCATTTACTGCCATTGCATATTAATTATCAGACTTCACACAAGAAAACTAGCGATTTTAGAAAAAAAAATTCTTCAAACACATTGCAGAAAATGCTTAAAAGAATTTTAAAGGCCCAAATAAAGGAATGAAATTCAATAATTAACTTTCAATTATCCTTTTTCTATTTCTCCTTGAATTTCTTCCCTTTCCTCAAATACCCGAAGATAAGAAAAGGGAAATAAGGGCATCTAAGAAAGGTATCTAGACAAGCTTGTTCAGGATTAATTGATTATTTTGCCCCGGTTTTAAAACAATTTTATCATTTTGCCTATCTTCTCAAATTATATATCAATTTATTCATATTTGATCAAAATTCAAATCTATTCATGTTTGATAAAAAAATTAACTGATACTGATTCGAGTCAATCAACCATTTACTCGAGTAAATTATTTACCAAGGACTAGGGTTTGATCCAATAAGGATGGATTGATATATATTTTGAAAAGAGAGATATATAATTTGGAATGAGAGGCAAAATGATAAAATAAATAAATAAGGACAAAATGATTAATCAACCGTTTTTCAAAGGAAAAAAGAGAGGAGACACGAAACTCAAGGTATGTGAACTGAAGATATTATATATAATCAAAATGTCTCAAAAGAATTAAACTTTGTGCAATTTTGGGCCAGAGCAGAGTAGGAGACTACTAAATTATCTGAGTACTAAGTTACTAAAGTTTTGGTCCCTAGTCTATTTAAATTTCCCATATAATTCAGTCGGCCTCCTTTTCTTTAGAAAGTGCAATAACTAAGGAAATGATACTGAGTGGACATGAATTTTCCGTAATGTGGTCCAGCTGTATATAAGTTCAAATGCAAGTCCGAACCTTCTTTTTCACATCCATTTCCGATGTAGTTTTGTATATTCACTTGCTTTCCCTTTTATGCAGATACCACAGCCTCCATCATACTGATAAGGACTCTAATTTCTGCCTCTTTATGCCTCTCTTTGACGCAATAGGCAATACGCTTAACAGCAAATCATGGCAATTACACAAATCATTATGTTCAGGTACAGAGAATTACCTGTGCAATTGTTGATTTAATTTTAAATTATATTTTCATTTTAAGCTCTACGCTTGCTAGCTACCCAATATCACTCAAAGTAATATTTCCTTCCATTCACAATATTTAACATTTAAGATTATTGTATATGAAATAAGAAGATAATTAATTAATCTTAAATATTTGAAAGAAAAAAAAACTTGTTTTATTTGACTAATTTACTCATATTAAAAGTTAATTTACACTTATATACAAAAAAAAGGTAAATTTACACTTTGTGTTTCTCTGCAATTTAATTAATTCTCTACTAAGACATTATCCCTTTTCAATTCCATAAGATATAACTGGCTTCGTAATCTATAATTAAATGTTTCAAATATGTATATGAGGTAAGAGAAGAAATAAAATAATTGTAAAAGATGGACAAATCAAATTAGTTAGATAAATTTTAAGAAATAAAGTAATTCAGTATATTAAAGATACGAATAAGTAAAGCTAAGAATGAAGAAAATAAGGTCTCGAGTATGACTATGAAGTGAGAAAATGATATGGAGAGAGTTGTATTAATATGATTTCACACCACAGTCGATGGATTTCTTATGAACGGGTTGGAAAAAAATAATAATAATCAATATTATTAGCAATTCAAAATGACAAATAACTTTATTTGAAGTAGAGCCTAAAAATCGATAGATATTGTGAAATGGAGGGATTACTTCATAAAGTTAATTTGTATCGTTTTTTTTTTTTTGTGTGTGTGTATAATGATAAGTTAATTTGTATCTAGTTGTAGTCTGATATAAGGATTTGACTTGTCATGTCTTTTTTACCATTAGTTGTACAGACGCACTTTGTGGCAGCGCTTCTATTAATCCTGCACATTTATGATAAATTTGTATGTGTATTGATGCAGGAAATAGTAGTAGGGTACCGGATTTTGTTTTCCTGGCACATATAGTGGATGTCACATCCTCTATGCATCCTCAGGTCTGTCTCAGATCATTCGCATCTTTGCCATTCACAACAAGGTTCTTCTTGATCCCATTTTGGCCAATCGCCTTGACAATTTTGCTAGCAATGTGGCTTTGGTCCAAGACCTTTTTAGCTTCTTTCTACTACCTCAGAGGTAGACTTCACCAAACATGGGTTGTCCCCAGGTGTGGCTTTCAGGTGGGTCTATAATAGTACATTCATCCTTAAGAAATTCGGCTTCACATTCTTTTTTAGCAACGGATCTTTTTTAGTATAATAAGTATTGACTCTTGTTTTTCACCGCTTTTTTCATCTTTCTGTGTTGTTTTAACAGTATTTCTTACCATTTGCTACTGAGGGTATCAATAAGCAAATTGAGCAAGCTATCCTCAGGGCTGATAAAATTGGTGTTAAAGTTATCAGCTTGGCTGCTTTGAATAAGGTTTGGCATATTTAACTTTTACTTTTCTTCTCTTGCTATTTAATTTGACCAAAAAATAAATGAACATAATTATTTATATAATTATATTGTTCTCTGAACATGGTTGTTGAGGTTTTTAAAGCCTTGCAATTAGATCTCTTATACATGACGAAACCATGTATAAAATTAGAGCACATCATAATTGCCTCATAGGGCAAATCTTGTTCTATCCGTCAACTAAAGTAACATGGCCCATTGGCTTTGTAAATTCTTGAAGAGGTTAAATATAGTTTGCACTTTCTATTGCTTTATATAAATAGAAACAACTTTTTACCAACACAAAAAAAAAAAAAAAAAAAAAAAAAAAAACGGAAATAGCATATATATCAAAGCTTTCCGTGATCGTTCATTTAGTATTTCAATCCACAACACCTCTTTAAGTTTCTCCTGCACAAAGTTGAAGTGTTATCAGGTCCATGATATATTGTAATGTAATGACCAAATCAAGTTAATCCTTAATTAATTAGTGTCATATATATAATGATTTCTTTGTTCTAGAAACAGTAATATTATTTAATGAAGCATTTAGAGGTACATGGAAGATCAATGATTTTATTATGATATACTTTCAACTCTCACAATTATGGGAAATAAATATTCAAAATCATTCAATGACAGGCTCTAAACATTATTTAGTGTTGAGAATATATAGAAGGCAAAATGATATCTAGCTACACTTTCGCATGTTACATGAAGAATGTTGATAATTCAAAAGAATTATAATGAGATTGGTGGAGTTATCTAGTGGTTAATAAGGGATGTGCAATTGTCATTACTTTACATAGAGGGTCAATTTAATGTTACCAGTGTTGGGATTGGTTTATCAATTGATTTTGTTCAATTCTTCATATACAATGTGGACAGAATGAATCTTTAAACGGGGGTGGAAAACTTTTTGTGGACAAACACCCAAACCTTAGAGTTCGAGTTGTTCATGGGAACACCTTAACTGCAGCTGTGATCCTGGATGAAATCCCTAAAGATGTAGGAGAGGTGTTCCTAACAGGAGCAACTTCCAAGCTTGGAAGAGCAATTGCCCTCTACCTTTGCCGAAAGAAAGTGAAAGTTCTGGTATGTCTTTATTCATGAAGTTTATTCAGTTTTTAATTTATATATCTGGTTATTCAGTTCTTAATAAATTTACATTATTTCATGAGATATACATGTCCAAATTGAAACTTCAGATCTAATATTGATAACAATGTAATTCTCGTGATGTAATTATGAAGAATCATGGTTCTGTGGCTTATGCAATGACCCCTACTAATGGGCTGAAAACTACTTTGCAGATGTTAACTCTTTCAGCGGATAGATTTCAGAGGATTCAAAAGGAAGCCCCTCCAGAATATCAAAGCTACCTTGTCCAAGTGACAAAATACCAAGCAGCACAAAACTGCAAGGTACTTTGTATGCTATTACTATCCTTTATTGTTTCTTTATTCAAAGCTCAAAATGTTAGTGACGCTACTTATATGACAACATCCTTTCCGAATGTTCAATAATGTTTCTTTCTCATAGTTTCTACTAAAGTTAAAAAATTTAATCAAATAAATTATGGTATGATAGTTTCAATTTCGTGGATTATGTACCATAAATTTAACAGAGCCGAAACAGAAGAAACCATGTAATTTGGTTGCATTGTCATTACTTTGTCTTATTCCAGACCTGGATTGTTGGAAAGTGGATAACGCCAAGAGAGCAAAACTGGGCTCCACGTGGAACACATTTCCATCAATTTGTTGTCCCACCCATCTTGTCATTTAGAAGAGACTGCACTTATGGTGATCTAGCTGCTATGAGGTTACCAGAAGATGTGGAAGGCCTTGGATGCTGTGAGGTGAGAAATCATCAATATATGGCTATCTCATTCATTTTCTTGTCTTTCTGGAATTGCATGGGATCACTCATTCTCATTCTCATGTTTTTTGTTTGACACAGTACACGATGGACAGAGGAGTAGTTCACGCATGCCATGCAGGAGGAGTTGTACATAGTCTTGAAGGTTGGACTCATCACGAAGTTGGGGCCATAGATGTTGATAGGATCGATGTGGTGTGGAAAGCAGCGCTTAAACATGGTCTAATACCAGTGTCTTCAGGATCCACCGTCAAAAAAGGATTAAAATGTGAGCCAAAGATTTGAAGACAGAAAACTTAATTAGAATTAAAGGGCTTTTCAATGCTCTGATGTGTGATAAATAAGAGTGGTCATTTAAATGTGGTTAAGTTCTTTGATGTTGCTTTATTATTGTCGTTAAGTGTTCACATCTGTAGTGGTTTATCACATAGTGAGGCAAAAGCAAGCTAGCTGGTCCCCCCATTCCATGAGTAATTTAATATTGGAATCATTTCCTTTTCCATTAATTTAATGTGTACATTATAATGGAAAAGTATATTGAGAAGGTCATGTTACTACCTTTCAACAAATTAACGCGCGTTAAGAAAGAATAAAGACAACCGTTCAACGTTTTCCTTGTTAAGAGTAAAATTCTGTGAAAGAAGTGGAAACTAGAAAATCTTTCGGTAACAATTCGTGATTTGGTAGGTAAAAAAAAAACAAGAGTACAGCATTTCTATATATTAGCAAGGAGCCCGTGCAACGGTGCAAGTGATGGGTAATCTGTAGAATTTTAGTAAATAAATACATGAAATTTGCAAAATGAATACACAGTCAATGAATTGATGGTAAAAAAAAAAAAAGACTTCAATTGGGGATTTATTCCTCGAATATGCCTCAAGGAAGACCCATAGGTTTACACACGTGCACTGGGATATCGATTTGAATGGAATATGCCTCAAATATACGGATAAATTAGGCTATATCTAGCATCTTTGTCACAGCAGATACAGGTAAAAACCATTTTCGATGTTTAATGCGCTTGATTTGACAATTTATAAAACGACACCATTCCTAGACATAATAACATCGATTTTTTGTATGGACGACGTATTCTTGCAAAGATGGCTATTTATTGGAAGCTTACGGAACAACTTTCATAAATTCCAATGGTGCTGAGTTTCTAAATGACATCTCCTTCAACGGCATGCACATTATGTTTACTGAAATTCTATTAAAACCAAACAACCAACTCACTAGAAGTACAGTTCAATCTACATCTCGTTATCGGACCGGTGTGTTATCATCAAATATGATATTAAGCGCAGTTACAATCACGGTAGTTATTTGTAATTACGGAAAAAAAATTCTTTTTAATATCATTTGTACCTTTAAAATAACGGTGATCATAACTCAAAACTTATTGCAGAATTATGAATGTCATAGATTAGTACCATACAACTTACATTGAAAGATGCTAAGTGGTTCCATAACCAACAAGCTTATAACTTATTTTATTCATGTTCGGTACTAGTGTATTCACTTTTTTTTCTTATTACTCGATTAATTCCACACTTTCCTTTTGTCTCCCATCTCTTACTATGTTATAGCTCTCTTCATTGGCTACGCGGGGGTTCAAACCGCGCACAAATCGGAGCTCTGTAGCTCGAGTTATGGCAATTTTGCCAAACTGCGCCTGCGCTGTTTTCGGAGAGCGCACTTGAGCGCCCAGTGGCAGAAAAATTGACTCTTTCCAGATATTTCTTGCGCTTGAGCGCCCAAGGGCAGGGGATTTTCCTATATTTCTCGTACGTGGCGCGCTTGAGCGTCCATATCAGCGCTTGAGCGCCCAATACCTGATGTAGACTTGATTTTTCCTGTTTTCACCTAATTTCCTTTGGGGAATTACTTCCCATTCAACATGAAACCTAAAAGATAATCTTACATCATGTAATATATATATATATATATATATATATATATATATATATATATATATATCTTCAGACAATTACATTATCTAGTAAGTCCTTGACCCTTCCATCATATGAATGCTTCAAAATGTATTCTTTACACGACATCAAGTGCTTGAAATTCCTTTAAGCACAAAATATGTAGACATGGACAAGTCACATGCTCACTCAAAATACAAATACAACAAAAGGCATATACAATTTCATATACAAAAATACAACACCATGATCAAATGACTAATAACCACATATGAACAACCAGAGCATGGAAACTATAATCTCATGTAATCCAATGTTCATACTCTAAGTCAGAGATACAAAATAAATGCTAGCATGTGCATCCTATGTAATCCTCCAAAATGCTATGCTCTCCATGTGCACATCATGATCCAACTCCTCCATGCTCGCTATAGCCTGAAATGATGTCTCCAAACGCGGGGTGAGATATACTAATATACCTTAGTAAACCAAGAGTATTAGAGGATCACCCCACCCCATGGCTCATTCAATGTGCAACAAATAACATCACGTAAAAATGCATAACATACAAAATCACAAACAACTGGGCACAAATCCAAGAACATCCACATAAGGATTCTGTTCAAGGACCCCATCATATAACTCCCAGAAATCTTCCTAGTGCCTCTCCCATGGATGAGACGACACCATGGCAAAACCCAACTGGAACTCCTCATGAGCCCTATCCAGCAGAAGTCCCTCGTTTGAATCATCCTGGTACCGCTCCTAGAGTCGGCCCCACGACAAAACTCGACCGGAATCCCCAAAGGATATCTCCAGCGGAAGTCCAAACCAACAAACATCTACTGGCCAGAGACCACAAACATCTCACACAAACAAGCAATAATGCATGAAAGTACATAATCACACAATGCCAAACGCACAAAATCCAACCACAACCTTCCACTAGGTGTAGTGCAGCACACAAGGGACTAAACCCAAGTTCCAAAGGTTTACCTCAACTCCAAGCACAATGCTCCAAAACGTACGCTCCAAGTTCAATCTTCCACTATCGCGTCCGTGAGAGACAACCTAACTTGATCACAATATTGACCATCAATACAATTTCAATGTCAACCATTCATTTCACACACATCATAAGCAATTAGAATCACCTAGGCCTAATGGCACTATCTCATTAATTCAATCACCTTAACTCATTTGGTCATCAAACTAGCTCACCAAACCCACCTCCTATGCATCCAAAATACCAACCATCAATTGTACACATTTTTCACCTCAACTTTCCTCCCAACCTTTACATGGTTCGAATTTCTCATTAGATGGTACTCCAAGGTTTTCAATCCATTCTAACAATCATACACATCATATAATCCTATCATTACTTTATACCAACAACCAATCATTTATTTACAATCATCACATTTATGATTACAACCAATATTTTTCCATCATTTTCCACCAATTTCACTAAGTTATGAACACATTTTCACCAATAATTTTTATTGCATTTATGGCTCCAACACATTATTATAAGACATATTCATCTAATACACATTTCTCAATTAAGCTCTCTAACTACACTAATCACACAATTTCACTCTAGGGCACAAATCATAAATCTCATGAATCAATCAATGGAAAGTGTTAAAACTTACTCAAGAGGTTGGTCTAGGGCTCCTCCACATCATACTAAACCCTTGGAGCTCCAAACAACTCCATGAACACAAATCTCACACCAAGGGCCGCAGTTTTTGGGGAGGTATTTCTCAAAATCTATTGTTTTTCAAGGCTTAATACTACCACCAATGTGTTTGGAAGATGTTTTCCAACAATTTTCATGACCAACTTGACTTGATTTGGTGATTGGATGATGAAGTTACAAGAGAAAGGAAATTTGCAAGGTTTTGGCTATGGAGAAGGGGAGACCCGCGGGAGAGAAAAAGAGAATAGGAGAGAGAGTGTCATATTTTCTAATAAGAAGGGTCACTTAAGTCACTTAGACCATAGGTGGGTCCCACATGCGATTTAACTTTAATCAATCACCTAATTTAAACCACAAATTCATAACCTACGTATTTTTCTCGTTCATGTCATATTTTTGTTTCCTAAAAATACTGACAATATTTTCGCGCTTATCAGTACCATTACACCACAGTATTTTTACACGGGTAAAATTACTATTCATCATATTTTCTGAAACTTGCCTATCCACTTGATTTTTCGTCCTGAATCCATTTCCGGCATTATTTTTTTCATTTGAGACTTTCTACTCAATTTTTTCGCGCTTATCAGTACCATTATATCGCAGTATTTTTACACCGGTAAAATTACTATTCATCATATTTTCTGAAACTTGCCTATCCACTTCAATTTTCGTCCTGAATCCATTTCCGGCATTATTTTTGTCATTTGAGACTTTCTACTCAATTTTTTCATGCCTAGGAATACATGTTTGGTAAATTACCATTTTGTCTTTTTCACATATTTTGACCCAAATTTCAGGATTTTCACTAATCCTACCCCTTTAATCAACATTATCACATATAAATACATATTTAAAATACGAGGTGTTATATTCAACATCAACCTACTAAAAACTTTTAGATAAAGTTTACAACATGCATTATAGTTCATGCATCATAAATTTAACTTATGGACCTGTAAAATATAATATGTAGTGGCCTTTGTCCTTTTACCTTGTTGGGAACTCGGTTCCCTCAACTCGGCTAAGAAGTCTTTTGCGGAAGTTAGTCAACAAGATTCTATTCTAGATCTCGGATCTCGGCAATCTTACCTCGGCCTAAACTTCACCAGGTTGGGCAGTGCAGCGGAAAAACAAAAATACAAAGGGGAGAGAGAGAAAGAGAACACAAGCAGTTTTAACGTGGAAAAACCTTCTCCAATGAAGAAGTAAAAACCCACGAGACCTAGTCCAGTTCAGGCGTCCACTATGAAAATAATGGGTACAAAAAATCAAGATTCACCAAAGTGGTGGTTAACTCAACCTCTTCAACAATGGTGATAATCAAACTTCCCAAGAGATGTTTCACTCAAACTCTCTCTAGAGGTCTCTCAAATACAAAGCTCAAAGCTTTGCTCACAAATCTCTCAATAATTTTCTTCTTTTCTTTTTCTCTAACCTAGTCTCCACCCACAACTAATGAATATATAGAGGAGGTGGAATCTAGGGTTAGGGTTTTTAGAAAATCCCTCAATGGGCTTGGGCTAAGCATTGAAGGAGGAAGCCCAACAAATCTCCCCATCCAACTTCAATGCGTCGGCTTCAGCATCAACCCGGCTCGTTCACAACAGTCTTCAAATTTTCTTATTGGAACCGGCTTTGTCATCATGTCAGACCAATTTTAGTCAATGTGCAATTTGACGAGTTCGAGTTCTCCACCTTCCACCACATCCCGGATCCAGTGATACCTCACATCAATGTGCTTAGTGCGAGAATGATAGGTCGAATTCTTCGCAAGATAGATTGCGCTTTGATTGTCACAACCCAGCTCGTACTTGTCTTGATCATAGCCGAGTTCCATGAGGAACTTCTTCATCCACAGCATCTCTTTGCTTGCCTCAGTAGTGGCAATTAACTCAACCTCGGCTGTCGATAGTGCAACGCACTTCTG